TGTGTGTGTGTGTGTGTGTGTGGTTTTGTTTTGTTTTTGTTTTTTTTGAGACAGGGTTTCACTGTGTAGCCCTGGCTGTCCTGGAACTCACTCTGTAAAATAGGCTGGCCTCAAACTCACAGTGATCCACTTGCCTCTGCCTCCCTGGGCTAAAGGTGTGTGCTATCACCACCCAGCTCCCTTCCTCCTTTTTGCTGACTGGTCTGGCTAATGGTTGACTTATCAGTTTTATTTTTCAAAGAAATAATTTTTGGATTCATAGGTTTTTCTCTTCTCCTATGCCTGCTTTCTATAGGAGATATGAAGGAGGATTTAAAGCTAATTGTTTTTCTAGTTCTAATTCTCGTGTGGGTTTTTTGTTGTTGTTTGGTGGTGGATAAATGCATGAACTATAATCAACATCGAAAGTGTTAAATTGGATGTGAAGTGTCACGGCTTCCATTTTGAATGCCAATTCTAACTTTTAAGTTCATTAAATTGTGTTTTTACTTATTTGCAAGTTTTTAAATAATAGTTTGTTTTTAAAATTTATTTTCCTTCTAGTTTTCTAAATAAAGCTTAGATAATAAATTTATTTTGTTTTATCATTACAAACATTTTAAATTTTGCTTTATTTGTGTATGTGTGTGTACATGTGTGGGCATGCATGTGTCATTGTGCATGTATGTCAGAGGACAACTTTTGGGAGTTGGTGCCCTTCCACAGGGGATCTAGGGGTCAAACTCAGGTCATTAAGTTTGTCTTGCAAGTGCTTTTATTTCCTGAGCTATTTACAGGCCCTGAAATTATTTTAAAATTTTAGGTATAGAATTAATACTTGGATAAGAATATTCTATTCTATAAATGGTGTTGAAACAACTGGACGTCCACATGTCGTCCACATGAATGAAAGCAAGGAACAGTAGTGGACTAAAGTCTGCTGGCAGTTCATTCAGGCAAGCCTTGAACTCTTGATCCTCCTGCCTCCTCCACCTTCTGAGCGCTGGGATTAAAGGCTTGAACACTATGCTTTGTTTAAAAAAAAAAAACAAAAAACAAAAAAGGCACTTAGACCAGACCTCTGACTTGACTATTTTCTTCCTTTCATTTGTGTGGTTTGGCAGGGCCTGAGGATGTGCATAGTGGCAGCCCTCAGCTCCTGAGCTGTAGAGCTCTAGCAACTTCAATTTTTCCTCAGGTGACAGTGCCAGAAGCATATCAAGAGAAATTTCTACCTGAATTTTTATTAATTCATTTTTAATTGAATAATTTTTAATAATTAATTCATTATTAATTGATATTTTGCTTACTATTGAAATTAATATTTGTTTGAAATAATATTTAAATTTTAGTAAATAAAATTATATTTTCTTACTGGTTTACATTGTGATTGGTTTTTATTTTTTATTTTTTGTAATTCAGATGTTTGTTTAAATTTCCTAACTTTACTATCAAATAATGATTTCATGCATATAATTCCCATTTTCTGGGAGAACTACTTTAAGATCTTACTGATGTTCTTTTTTGTAGTAGAATAAGTTATTTTCTAGCAAATCATTTTCTGAAAGCTTTTCATCTATTCACTGCTATCAGAAATTTACTATTTTGGCCATAAATGTCTTTGCTATGCTTTTGCTAGTATTGTAAATAAGATTTTAATATGTTAAATATCTTTCCTTTCCTTTAGGCATGATTGATGGCAAACATTGTACTTTTCCACATCTACCTGGCAAAATCTTTGTCTATAATGCTTCTGAAGATAGACTGGAGTTGTGTGTCGATGCTACAGGACATTTCCCCATTGGTCCTGATGTTGAAGATTTAGTTAAAGAGGTTGTAAGTCAGGTTCGAGCAGAGGCTACTACAAGAAGTAGGGAATCAAGCCCCTCCCATGGGTTATTAAAACTAGGTAGTGGTGGAGTAGTGAAAAAGAAATCTGAGCAACTTCACAATGTAACTGCCTTTCAGGGAAAGGGGCATTCTCTAGGAACTGCATCCAGTAACCCTCACGTTGATCCCAGAGCCAGGGAAACTCTGGCTGTAAGAAAGCATAACACAGGGACAGATTTTAGTAATAGTTGCATTAAAACAGAGCCTCCTGTGTTCACAGCTGCTCCTAGTAACAGTGAGCTCATTCGAATAGCTCCTGGAGTAGTAACAATGAGAGACGGCAGGCAGCTTGATCCGGATGTGGTTGAGGCCCAGCGAAAAAAATTGCAGGAAATGGTTTCTTCTATTCAGGCTTCAATGGACAAACACTTGCGGGATCAAAGTACAGAGCAGACACCATCTGATCTTTCTCAAAGAAAAGGAGAAGTTGTGAGTTCTCCTGTGAGGCACGGGAGTCTTCAGACTGGCTTGCCTGAATCTTTTTCTTTAACTGATGGCACTGAGAGTCCGAGTACTGAAGCAACTGATAGTTGTGTGGCAGACACCCTGGGAGCAGCATTTGCCACAAAGTCAAAAGCACAAAACGAAAATTCCATGGAGGAACCTGAAGAGATGGATAGTCAAGATGCTGAGACGACTAACACAGCTGAGCCAATGGATCACTCTTGATTGAATTAGAGGCTAATAAAGGCAGAGTGTTTATTGTGAATATGTAATATTTGTTGGCTGGGCCACATAATTTGAGTAGTCATTAAAAATCTTGTACGTATATAATTCAAAGATTATATCTTGTTATTCAGTGCATGATAGCAAGTGTGTGATTGGCAATAGCTTTTAATATACTGCTGCCCAGGCTGGCTCTGAATTCTTGTAAATTAGTTTAGATCTATTGAAAGAGTTTCTTCCATATATGGTGGTTCATTGGAAGTTCTTTGTCATTTTAATTCCACGAAAGTCTTAATTTTCAGACATGAAAATTCTCTTGCTAAATGTTTCATTTCTGCAGAGACCAGAATTGAAGAGAGAGTGAGAGTTTGCACATATTGTCATCAAGGTAGCCATCCTACATGTCATGAGAATGTCGATTTCAAGTTTACCTGAACTAAATGTATCTTAAAATGCATAAAACACTTTTAGACTACTTAAAAGTTATAACATTATAGAAACAACTATTGTTGGCAAAAAATATCTTGACAGTAGAGTGTAATGACACAACGTTTTCCTGATTTGAGTTAAGTTGGGAAGAATGATCTATCCTAGTATGATAAAGGCAGCATAATTCAGTTAGTTGGTCTGAGCCAATATGGCCAGTTGTGTGCTCTTGTTGATAATATGTTGCCATTATTTTTTTAATCTTGGCCTTGTCAAGTTCCACCTGTTGTTTTTTAAATCTTGCATAAAAGAGAATTACAATTTGTTTTAGAAAATTTAAAAATAATGGTAGCAGTAGTTAATTTGTAACTTTCAGAGTATGTCAGAGTCACAGAGAATTTATCTTTATGAATGGGTTACATTGTTCTACAGTTTTGACACAGTGGTGTTTAAGCCTGTATATGCTAAATGTCTCTGGGCCCCTTTGAACCAAAAATGTTTCCTTTTTTTCTTAGATTTTCTGTAAGATTTTCTTTTTGTTGGCTTCTCTTGAGTTTGGATGCACAGTTTACTGCCACATACCGTGAGCAACTGAGCATTTGCTTAAACATTGCATCATTAACTCTTCAGTGCCAGTTCCCTCGAACAGCTTTCATGCATATTCTTTAAAAGCAGAGTGTATACTCCTGAGATTGGTACTGCACTATTGTACTCTGTTCTGCAGATCTGTATTTGTAAATGTATTTCAGTCCGTCATCTTCCCTTGTTTACTGAAATTAAGTTTAATTTGAATGAATGAAAGACAAATGTATGTTAATATAATCTCTTAGAGCATTCAAAGCCTGGCTGTCTCTGTTTGCACATGTAACAGATGCAGAACTGTTTGCAATTCTACAAAACTATATGTCAGAAAATACATTATCAGGTGTTTAAAAAAATCTCTACCTGTTCATTGGAAAGGGATATAAGATGTACTTTAACTTTTTCTAGCTAAGGGAGGTTTTGGTCTTTTTCTGTGACAGTATCTTTAACAGAATCCAAATACTAATTACCCCACTATGTTGAAAAAGAAAGGAACGGAGAATCTAAACGTTTACAAATGTAGCTGAGGTTAAGATAATGTACAAAACACTAACACACACACACACACACACACACACACACACACACACTCCTCTGGATTAGTGTTTATCATATCACATGCTTTGCAATATTTTATCTCCATTCGTCCTTTTCTAAATATACTTTCACACACTTTATATCAAAGTACCAGGGAAATTTACAACTTTTATATTGTATACTAGTTTTGCATGAAGTAAAAGAGAGCTACCAAATTCTTAACAATTAGCTGTGCTTTAAATACCCCCCCCCCCCATCAATTCACTCACCACTATCATTATTTTGGCTTATTAAGCCACTGAAATATTCTTTAAAATTTTTTTTCCTGGCTTAAGTACAAGAAAACTATTCAATAAACAGAAAGTGTACTGCTTTAAATAAATTATATAATCACTCTGCTTTAACAGATGCTCTTCTGTGGCTTGGTATGTTTAGTTAATAACTGGCAGGATATCAAAGCATTAGAACATCAGAAACAAATTTTGTTTTTTCTGGACATGGTCTTACTATGTTGCCCTGGCTGGCCTGGAGCTCACTATGTAGGTCAGGCTGGCCTTAAATTCACAGAGATCTGCCTACCTCTGCCTCCCAAGTTCTGGGACTAAAGGCATAGACTTACCATGCCTGGCTAGAAACAAATTTTATCTCCCTATTGAATACTTGAATTTAGTGTAAATTATGCACATGTGAACATTAGAAGATGGGCTTAATCTCTGACAATACTTCATTGTCTCTAGTGACAGTAGTGGTATTTAGGGTTAGAAACTTAACTGGGTATAAATAACAGTTTGGGTTCTCCCTTGATAAAAAATAACAAACAAAAAACAGGCTTGAGAATTCATCAGAATTCTTGAACATATTTTAAATCAGATGAAATTTGAATTAGTGGTTTTGGCTAAGTTTTGAGAGGGTTTGTTTTAAACGTCATCCTTGTATTTATGTAAGTGTAGATGATTTTTTACCATTTTGATACCACTGTACTGCATCAGCGGAGCACAACAGCTTGTGATAGCAAGTAAAGTGTTTCTTAGCCCTAGATGTGGCATTGTAACTGTAATTCAAACCAGTTCAGTTATATTTTTGGTGTTTCTCTGAACACTGAAGTAATATTGTAAATATTTCTCTACAGTAACCCACTACGTAATCATACCAAGTTTGAGTTGATGGCCCAAAGTCCAGGCAGTTAAAGGTGGTGTGTGTCCAGAAAGCTGGTAATGAACGATGGTTCAATGAAAGGAAATAAGACACTGCCAAGTATTATGACTAGTATTCAATTAGCTCCAAGGGAATGGTTACTCAGGAACTAAAGAACAAGCTTAGATAGCCCATTCCTTTCCCATCCCTTAAACTATGTTTCAGGTGTTTATTGGAAATTATTAGGAAAGAGGCCTGAGAAATTTAGCAAATGCTAATATTTGAAATTTGCTTTATACTTTCCTGTGGTTTTTAATTTGGTTTTTTACAATTAAGCTTTACTACTAGCAGTTGAGATTGTGTTGTGGAATGTACCTGTGAGACTAGCCACAGGTCATACAAGTCTTTTGTTTTGTTTTGTTTTTTGAGACATGTTTTTTCTGTGTAGCCTTGGCTATCCTGGAACTCACTCTGTAGACCAGGCTGGCCTTGAACTCAGAGATCCACCTGCCTCTGCCTCTCATGTGCTAGGATTAAAGGCATGTGCCCCCACCACCTGGCTACAGGTTTTTTTGTTTTTGTTTTTCAACACAGGGTTTCTCTGTATAGCCCTGGCTGTCCTGGAACTTGCTCTTAACAGGTTTTTATTGCCATTATTTTAAGGATCATCTTCATTGGATATTAATGGTGTCTTACATAGGGTCTCTTACCTCAGGGAAGATCGTTTACTAGCAACTCCTATTATTGACCAGTTTTGGAGAATTACTTTGACACATCACATGTTAACTACCAAATGCAAAAAGTATTGTTTTATGTAGTTACCTGCTGTCTGCTACTGAACATTTCTCTAGATATTTAGGACCTTACTAATAAGTAACATTTAGATTTAAAAATAAACATCTAAGTTCTGTCACTAGTTATACTCATCTAGTCACTATAGTGATAGTATAATTTTTTATTTTAGAACATTAATAAAGTTTTGTCCTCATTTTTCAACAATCATTTTAATTGGCCCAAACTTAAAATGCTCAAGTGCAAATCTTGTGCTTTTTTTTTTTTCATAGATCTAAAAGCAAGGTCTCCACCTTAAGATTCTTATAAAAGCAGAGCCCTTGCAACATTGGTTTTAATTCCACTCATTTTAATGTAGACTTAAAGTTACCTTTTATAACAGAAATAGATGCGTATTCTAGGTTGGCTAGATGTTCTACTTTCCAAGACTATGTCATTTAACAACATTGTAAAACACAGAGGCTTTTCACAATTTGATTATTTCTTCAAACAAGAACAACTCATGAAAAGAGGCCATAGTAGCAAAATCTGTATTTAAAGAATAAAATAACGAAGGGGAGACAGATCACTAATGTCACAGAGTTAATTGCAAGTTCTGCCATTCTTTGAGATGCCAAGTGTTTCAGTTCATATTTAATGATACTCAAATCGTGGAAATTTTAACGTTTGTTCCAAAATAGCAGAAACTGTAAAAAAAAATTGTGAATTATTGGATAAAATGCCATTACTTGTATATCTGACATTTAAAGTTTTTAATTATGGAGTTGACATGTTTTTGTAGTATAATACAATGACTATTCTCTTGTAAAAGAAAAGGAAAAACTAGTAAAGAAAAGAAAAAGTTTTAGTTGATGTTATTTGCTTGTATCAATGACTAGTATTTAAAATTTAAGCTGTTGCATACTTTTCTTTAGAATGCAGAAATCCCTCCGGGAGCCTTTATGCCTGTCGTAGAGCAATAAAGGACTGGAAAGCTGGTCAGTATTTTCAGGTTTGTTTGACTTCAAGCACTAGTGCTAAAAATTGCAGTCTCCTTTTTGGAGGGAAATGCTACTTAGACTAAAACCAAGCATTAATGTTGTAAATATTTAGACAAAAAGCTAGCAAGTACTTAAACTTGGCAGTGAAGTGTTGTAGATGCTATATCATCCATAAGGCACTAGCTTGGACATCACTTCTGATTTCATGATTGTATATATTACAATTGAGAATGACTAATTGGTAACAGTATAGTGTTCTTGAGCACACCTCACTGTACAGTATTTGAAGTTTTGTATTAATAATAAAACTAAGTTAATATATTACTGATTCTTTTTAAAGTAATGTTCTTTAGTTTCCTGGAATTATACATTAATATAATGCATGAACAAATAGTTCAGTTTTATAAAAAAAATTCTTAGCATAATAAAGTTGTTTTTAAAATGTCCGTAAATTAATTACACAGGAATTGTAATTTCTTTCCTTAATGCAGATTTTAATATTAGATGAAATGGATCCAATTAGGAAAAAAAACAAAGCAAAGTTACTTTAGAAAGTTGGGCCATGTAATGCTTACTAAATATTTCAAGATCAATTGTGTTCTAATAGAGAATGTGTGTTTGTGGAAAAAGTACTAGTTATGATGAGGAAATGAAAGAAAAATACAGAAAATAGCACCAAATTCCTTATTTTCATAGCTTACCTGCCACCTGTCTTCTGTCCACTTACTTTTAAGTTTTAGCATATTTACTTACTGTCTATTGTATCCCAGTAGACCATTTATCTCAGTGGTTAGAACTGCCCAAGACACCAGACTCAGGTGCAAGTCTCAGCATACTCCCTACTGTGTAACCTGTTTCAGTTTCTTGTTGGGAAGATGACAGTAGCATCTGCTGCTGAAGTTACCACCTGAACATTGAAACCGTGCCTGGCGAGTGTACATTCAGATACTTGCTGTGACTAGCATGCTTCAGAGTTGTCCTAGAGGTCAGTGCCACTGAAGTGCAGTGCAGCCCTCCATGTAGGGTGTGTGCTACTTATTCTTAAATCTAGAACTTGTTGCCTTTATAGTAGGTTACTAATGACTAGAAACTGGATGTTTTTTCATCCTTACATTCCTATGGAGCTTTATTATCGTTAACTACCAAGAATCCGGAGAATGGACATTCTGTGCTGTGACTGAGACGAGCTGTGGAGCTTTTACAGGCCCAATTGTGCTGTAGCCTTGGAGTTGTACAGTTGTACCTCTGTGTCTGCTGACCACAGGTGCGCTTGCTGAGAGCGGTGCTGGTGCAACACACACCCGAGCTAACAATCACCTCCGCTTTATGCTGAGATTACAGTCACAGCCTTGGACTGGAGGTCTCTGTGTGCATGCCATTGGTCACATACCATCAAGATAGAGCCCTCCAAAAATTGAGTAAATAAAGGAAGAGAAACATTCCACTTAAGGTAGTTCATTACTGGCTTTATTTTTATTGATTGGCTGACATTCCCCAGTAAGTACAATCTGACTGAATAATTGATTGTTTCTAATAATTAAAAATGTACAGAGAAAAAATGAAGTAAGTCAGTTGATTTTCTGCACTATGGTACATAGAAAGTGAAAAACAGGTTCTTCCAATTCATGCTCTTTGGAAGGGAACCAGTCTTCTGTTCATTTATCGTGTGTGTGTGTGTGTGTGTGTGTGTGTGTGTGTGTGTGTGTGTGTGTGTGTGTGTGATTATTTCTGTCTTGGTTTTATGTATAGAAACATAGATGAGATGTGGTCTGCCTGTGAAATTACTAATTTTTACATTTGATTTGTGGAGTCAGGATATTGTGTAGTCATACTGTAACCATTCATTCAAAACAAGTATGTGTCAAAAGCCACACTTTTCTAGGAACTGGTGAAGCAGTTCTGAAAGACAAATTCCATGTGTTCTTGTGTGCTTATAGTCAAGTAAATGGTACAGTCAAGTAAAGATCACTCAACTGTCATTACAGTGCTAAGTCACTCTAGCTGTTAAAAGTGGTTCCTTTCCCTGGATTCCGATGATAGTTTAAACAGCACACAATGATTGACTTAGTCCTTTGTGCTTGGCTGTCAGGCTTACACAGATTAGGTGGTCGACCCTAGAGTTGTGGACATGTGTCTCTGACATGGCGTGGTCAGTGCTGTCTTGAAATAACCCTCACAAGTCTGGCTCCCTCATAGAAATTGGTTGGGTCTCAAGGCTTTGGCTACATCCCAAGAAGAACTCTAGAGATAGTGTGATGGAGGACACAAGGCCACTTCCTTCCCTGAGGCTGTGCAAGCAGTTGGTATAGTGGCTCATGCTCTTGTAATCAACCTCTCACTCATGTTCCTGTAAGTAAACCCAGTTAATCTCTTTACCAAGCTAGACTTGGCTGGAGTCCTTTCTTAGTTCTGTTGTTGGTGCTGTTTGGAGTGAATAGGTATTTTTTCACATCTCCCTAGGAAAACACAAAACACCAGTGTCTTGTAGTTAAGTGGCAGAACTGGGTAGCATCTAGAATAAACCCAAATGTGTATTACTACACAGCTTATGCTCTTAACCTCAATGCTACATTCATTTTTTAGCAAAGGACTAAGATGGTGGTCCTAAGTCTTTTGAGCATTATTTAAATCTAGATTAATTTTACGTTCACCAATCTAGTTTAAACTTATTTCAAAGTACAGAACATGGCTTTAGTTTTATTTCCTGCTAGTTTACTTTCTGAAGCCCAATTTCTACTTGGAGTTCCTATGTTGGGTTTATTTTCTTGTCCCCAAATGTGGAGGTTCTACAGAAAAAGGTTTCATATTTTCCGCAATGACTAATCTGGGTCAATTTGAGAATCAGTAGTGAGATCAAAGTTAACACCCTCATTTCAAAAGTCCTAGAATAATTGCTGATTTGCTAGATAGGTCTCTTGCTTTGGCAGAAGGGCTCTCCAAAGGTCATGTTTTTCAAAGTAGTTTGTGTGCTATTCGCTCATGTAGAATTCCTGTGGAATCATGTGTTGGGTACTTTGCTTGGTTGGGAGAGTTCTTACCTGGCATGCGGAGATCACTGGGTTTCATCCCTTAACACCACATAAACGCGAGTCATGGTGTGCACACCTTTCATCTCGATGCTTGGGAAAGGAGCAAAGAGGATCAGACGTGCAGGCCTCTCGGCTGCATTGTTTACTTGAAGCCAGTCTGGGCTACTCGAGACTGTCTGGAATAGTGGTTCTCAACCTTCCTAAGGCTGTGACCCTTTAATACAGTTCCTCATGTTGTGGTGACCCCCAACCATACAATTAATTCATTGCTACTTTATAGCTGTAGTTTTGTTACTGAATTGTAAGTATTTTTGGAGATAGAAGTTTGCCAAAGGGGTCATGACCCACAGGTTGAGAACCACTGGTCTGGAAAAAACAAGTCATAAGAAATAATAAGCTTGTATAAGCAATACACACTCCCTGCCTTCATTATGCTCACATTTTTAGTGAAGGAAAAACACATTAAAACAAGTAAGTGGACACAGAGGAGAACTGGGCTGTGGGATACTACAGGACTAACTAAGCTGACCTGCTAATGATTAGAGAATTGCTTCCTGAGGTGATCCGTTACTTGAGACAGAATTATCAGGATACTTAAAAACCAAACTGTCAAGATTGAACACTTCCAAAAAATTACAGTCCAACAAGCAAAATTAAGTGGAATTGGGTGGAGAGCTGTTTCCGAGGTTAAGAATGGGCACTGTTTCTTGAAGAACAAGGGTTTGGTTCCCAGCACCCACACTGGGTTGCTTACAACTGTCTTCTGCCTTCCTCGGGCACTAAGCTTGTGTACCCCTCCCCCACAAACTCTTAAAAGCAGTTGAGATGCTTATGTTCGCAGCACTGCAGACCCTCGTACTGCCTATAAGGAGGTAGTGATGACAAGAAAGGAGGGTTTTGAAAGGCGCGTCAGAAGAGTCTCCAGGGTCCAGCGTGATGACTCAGTGGGAACGGTGCTCACCGCCACGCCCCATGACTGAATTCAGTCCCGCGAGATTGACGTGCAGGCGAGACTGGACGCCCACTCGTCTTCTGAACTTGGCACGTGACCATGCATGTGCGGGCCTACACAC